GGGGGTGCGGGGGGCCGCCCGCTGCTCCTGGGGGCGCGCCGCGGAGCCCTCACCTCTCACCACGACCTCCAGCGTGGCCTCGCTGTCCTCGATGCCGTGGGCCACCTCGCAGCGGTAGACGCCCGAGTCGTTGGCGCGCACGTTCTGGACCTCCAGGGTGGCGTCGCTGGGCACGGCGGGGTAGTTGAGCAGCGAGACCTTGTCCCGGAAGGCGCTGTGCACCCGCACCTGCCCCTCCGTGGCCACCAGCAGCACCAGCTCCTGGTCCTGGGAGATGCGGCTCCACTTGATTCTCGGGGCCAGGGGGGCGGTGGAGGGGGCGGTGGTCACGGGGTGCATGGGGTCGATGAAGTAGCAGGGGATGGTGAGGGAGCTCCCCAGCAGGACCCGCAGCGGGGACGGCTCCGGGATGCTCACGCTCAGCGCGTTCTCAGGGTCTGTGGGGGGTGGCGGGGCGCAGCGTTAGGGCCGGGGCCCGGCCACCTGCCTCCGCCAGTGGAAAGCATCTCCAGAGCCAGCCCCGGAGCCGGGGGCCGCCCCAGCAGCTCAAACCCCCTCCAGAGCAGCTTCCCGAGACCCCGGTCTCTGCACCTCAGAGACCGCAGCCAGAAGCGGCCGCCGACGAGGGCCACGGAGCTGCAGCCGCCAGGCTGCTTCTCAAACCGGGGTGCCGAGACGTAGGGAAATCAAGACCCAGCTTCTGCGGGGCAGTTTGACAAGAGTTTGGGGGCAGTGATCTGTGGGTTAGAGAAAGCTGTGATGGAGAAGAACACACAGCTCGAACACTGAGATACGGGACTTGGGAGACGATGCACGGCCACGTCAGTGGAGGCCACGCCCGCGGAGGCCACGCCCGGCCTTACAGAGGGCAAGTCGCCCCCCCCCCGTCCGGGACTGGGGGTCCCTGGGAGAGGCGCCAGGGTCAGGTACTTAAGTCTATGAAGGGTTAGTCAGAGGGGCCTGGGGGTGAGCCAGGACTGGACACCCCTGAAAATCGGGGTGTCGGGTGGAAGACGCAGACAGTTGATTAAATCCTCTCAGAAGCAGATCTTCCGGCAGAAGGGAGAAACGACTCCGGGACGCACTGTGCCGCCCAGGGGGGACACGCGCCCTGGGGCAGGTGGGCACCGGTCCAGCGGGTCCCAGATCGGGGTCCCTGCAGCCCACGCGCCCCGCCTGTGACTCCTTAAGAGCTATAGACCAAGCCAACAGAGTGTGAAGTAAATCTCCCTTGGCACTGACAGTGTGACCTTTAGGACTGAGGGGCCAGGTGTGAATTTTGGAATCCTGAATTTCCTAGCATTTTGCAACAAGATGTGGGGGCTGGGGGGGGAGGGGAGCCAGGCCCCCTCTTCTTCCACGTCGGCTGTGCACGGCGAGGGGTCCGTGTTTTTCCAGCCCTCGCGTTCCAGCTCTGCCCTCAGCCGTGACCGTCAGCCCTCAGCCCGTCCCTTGGATCTGGGGTACGATCCCCCCCAAGTCCAGACCCAGAGGAGAGACTGGAAGTGGTGGGGACTCTCTAGGTAGGGAATTCAGGGTGTCCTGGGTGTCAGTATGGTCTAAAAGGGGGTGGGACGGGGGGAGCACAGACTTCAGCCTTGGGGAGTTTTGGGGGCTCTCAACCACGGCCCAGGCGGGGCCCCTCTGCCGTGTGCGGGTGGCCCGCTGGCTGGGCCCAGGGCGTGGCGGTCAGACGCCGACAGTGCCTGCCACGGGCCGGGCTCCGCCTGACCGCTGGGGCTTCTTTCTCTCCTTAGGGGACCCTCCCGGGCCTCGGGGGACCCGCTCCCTC